TAGAGCCTGCCCCAGTACCTGGCAGCTCCCAGGGACAAGGACCAATCTCCTGCCCCCTGCTCGCTGGCTGACCACGAGCAAATTTTCTCCCTGTCAGCTATCTACACATGCCATACTGCTCAGTTATTACTCGGCAGTTAATTTGCTACTTGCATTTGCAGGTAGCTAATTAACAGCCAGTTAGAGCAAATTAATGTGCAGTGTACAAAAGAATGAGCATGTGTAGATGGTGACATTTACTATGCAATCATTAGTTCTACTGCACAGTAAAGTGTCTCATGTAAATGCACTCAGAGCATATCCACACATGCAAGCACGTGCTCTTGCAGCAGCTCAAATAGAAGCAGTACAAATATGAGCCAGGGCTTTTTGCCTCAGTGCATGTGCTCAGACATGCACTTTGTTGTGGAGCAAATTGTGCCACTTGGGGCAAAATAACCCTGCCTGGCTCCTCCCGGATCTTCAGCCAGGGGGAGCTAGAGCCCGGGGCCAGCACCTGTGCTGTCCCCAGCAGTATAAAAAGCTGCCCTGCCCTGGCCCCAGCAGTATAAAAAGCCACCCTGGCACGTAGCTCAGAGCTACTAGCTCTCAGGAGCTTCTGGGGCCCAGCCAATTGATACCCCCCCACAGTCCCTTTCCACCCCCTCCAGCTCCCCCAACCCCTTACTCACCAGCACCAGAGCCCTGGTGCTGAAACAGACAGTTTTGCCGGCTGTGTGTTTCAGCACCAGGGCTAGGGGCCAACCATAGAGATGCTCTGGCAGCTAGAGCGTCTCCATGGAGGACCCAGCCTCCGGTTGCCTCAGGCGAAGTCCCTGACTGTGCCCTGCCCCACTTTTTTATACTTCACTTTTTTAGGCCCCTGGATACCATTTTTTGTTCCTGCACGTGCCTCTTGCCCTACCTCAAAGGGGTTTGAGGCAGGGCAAGAGGCATGTGCACGCTCGTGTGGACGCGCCCATAGGGTCTTCAGGGTAGCCTGATATATGAAAGACTACAGCAATTCAGTCTCAAAGTTACGAATATCTGTAGCAATGTCATCTGCAACTTGAGTAGTTACTTAAGGTGTACACATACACTTACTTTTTTATACATATATATCCATCTAAAAATCTATTTTGTAAAAGAAGAATGCAGCAGTTGGGAGAAACTAGGGACAAAGTACTGGAGATGTCTGTCTTGGGAGCATCAGACTGAGTCAAACCTCTAAAAAAAATTTTAAAAAAAGGAGCGGGACTGTGAATGCCTGAGACATGCTATGAGATCACAATCTTGCTTGAGATCACAATCTTTGCACCTGACATCTTCAAAGGGACAGAGTCAGGTGAAGAGTCACTGCCAAGCAGATGTGGAAGAGGCAACAAAGAATTTTCTTTTTTGTAAAGTAACCTGTAGAGTAGGCTGTTCTACAACACAGAGAAAATTCTTTGTTCTTTTTATTATAAGAGCATATTAAAGAATGGTTAATTTACAATGAGGACTGATAGCAAGGGTCACGATTTCTCTGATATTAGAAACAGATTTAGCAAAGCGCCTTTAGAACAAGTTTAAAGATTGGAAGAATAGCCTATTAAAAAAAGAATACTTAGGTAATTTTTTTCATTTAGACCTTGCTACAGTAATGGAATCTGACCTATCAGTCTCTGACCATAAATAGCTAAAGCACTTGATACTAAATAAGTTACAGTTAAGTAAATATATATTGTTCTGAAAGGCTTAGATGTACAATATACTAGTGGTGTTTTACCCATGTATAGGTTTGGTAAGAAAGTATTCTGGCAAATACTCAGTCTACTGCAAAATATTACTAGGACTCTTCACAGATCTAAGATTGTGCCATCACCAAGGAGATGCACTAAAAAAAAAAAAAGTAGCCACTCAGAAAAAGGGACCATAGTAGCCTGGTTTTCTGACATTGAAAGGACCATACCCAGAAAGGAATTCTGGGGAAAAAAATCTTATAAGAACCTATTACTTAGGAAGTTAGCAAGGACCAGGTAGTCAAAAAAGAAACAGATTTTAGGAAAAGGGGTTTGACTTGAATCTTGGAGACTTTGTCACCACTCCATCCCAAGAGCTGTATGGTGCACAAGAAGTTGTATGCTGAAAATGTTCAAGGAAAATGGTTAGCTACAGCATCTGTATAATTTTGAACACACAGTGTATGTGTGTGTCCTCCAAAACAGTAGGACCCTGCCTGTAGTCTGAGGGAAAATAAAACAGCCCTGAACCACTATTTAGGTATGAACCAGTATGAAAGCCTGACAGCTGCAGATCACTTTACACAGTTAGCAGTGGAGCAAAAGATTATTTAGAAATAGCTTCCTGGAGTGTATGGCACTACAGCTGTATTTCATCACATAATTCAACAAATATGACATGGTTCAAATATGGGAATCAGTTTTACAGGTGATTTACTCATTTTAGGTACAAATTAGGAAGCTCCTTTGGGAAGATCTCAGTCTATTCTCAAGGGCCGCTGCTGGGTCAGATTCACTCAAAAGCAACTTGTCATTAAAACACCTGAGAACAATATATTTCTTTATATACTTATACTTTCTTTTATATACTTTTCCAATAGGTACCTTTTTAAAAAAAGACTTCCAGAGAAGCAGGTGACTTGCCCATATTTACATGGGCCTCTATAAACCCCATCATGTCTACAGCCCTCACATTATAGCATCATACCTGAGAACTGCCATTCGTCTGGAAGGACAGCCACACATTTGCCCCTCATTCCTGCCAGCTGATGTGTCATTCCTAAGCATGCATTGAGCTCAGTTTCCTTTTCAGCTCTTCTTCCTATTTAAGATTTCTCCCAGGATTTCTAGGCAGGCTGTAAAGGGCTTCCTTCCATCTTCCTCACACTTATTGTGCTTCTCAGTGCAGTCCAGTCATGTGGAAAATGAGGAAGAGAAGGCCCTCAGCTGCTCATTCCCTCTGCACACAAGCTATCTATGGGGTGAGGGAGAAAAGATCCCATAGGATTTTAGGAAGGAAGAACTGCAGGAGAGACTGCACTGTGCATTAAAACATGGCAGTGGGAAGAGGTAAGGAGAGGAAGGGCCAGGTGGTTAGCAAAGACAGAGAAGAGAAACAAATCATGTCAGGACTACTGGGACCAGACTGAATCAAAAAAATGATCCCTCACTCTACACCATCACCTCTGCAACAACAGGACTGTGGATGTTAATATTTAACATATGGCTTTTAACATTTGGCTTTATTTGCTTTGGCAAATAAAAAAAAACAAATACAAAAGGTAAAACATGAAATGGATTAATCTATTATTACAGGTCAAAATGAGAAACATGTTTAAAAAACAATGCTATTCCTTTTAACCGGAGCAGTTAGACAAATAAACAAACAAACAAACAAAAAAATCAGGGTCCTACAGGTTTTTCCACCTTGAAGCAACAGCTAGTGGTGGAGTCGCATGCTAACTTGGTGCTGTACTGTTTATTTACAAAGAATATATAAAGTCCAGCTTCCTCGAACCCAGAGATATTTAACAGGAAGCAGGCTCTTTTCTCACAATCCCAAGCTCTTTTCCCAGAAGCATTTAGCCTAGCATCACATATGCTTTTTTGCTTTTTCTATATCCATCTTCCCACCCCTTGGCCCTTCCCCAGCCTCCAACTTCTTTCAGGGCCACATTCCCAGGACTTGCTTTGACTGTTTCCTTGTGGGTTTTTTAATTTTTTTTTTTTACCCTGTTTTTCTGGTACTTCCTTCTGTTTTGTTTTTTTTATCTCAGAAGCACATGTGAAATTGTGCAGCAATCTTCAGGAAACCTGTCACTTTGCATAGCAGAGCTTTAAGTCAACCTTGCCACACTGATCTATGCTGTGGGCAGTGGCCTGCATTGTTTAGTTATAACTAAAAAGGGGGCATAAACCTGCCTCCTTTTAACCTAAGCAGAAGAGCAGGTATTAGGTGCAAACCCAACCTGTGAAAGCAAACAAATAGAGTAATTAGTAAAGAAAGGTACCTCTGATTATTAGCTTGTAGTGCAATTAAAACTTTATATTAACAGTACTGAATATACTTGCAGTTTTATTGCATGTCTCTGAATATTTGATATTTTTCTAAAAGATCCCACTCTCTTGAGGCCATATAACCATGTAAGAAGCTCAGCTTTTCCAAAAAGAATAAAAATGCTTCTCTCTCTCATTGTTAAAAAGAAAAGCTGGAAGAAAACAGCCTTGAAGGTTTAGAATTCAGAACACAAAAAGACCAAAAATATTATTTTTAAAGACAATTTAATAGGTTTTGTGTGGCTGAATGAATGACATTTGAATACTCAGGAGATAGACTGACTGATTGATACACACGCGTATATGTAGAGCTGAACACATGTATAAAATGTGTGTGTCTGGATATATAAACATACACACATTGTATACATATATATACACATATTATACACACACACACACTTTGTATATATATGTTCAGATCAATATATATGCATGTGTATCAATTAATTTAACTCCTGGGTATTCAAATGCCATTGTATACAAATGTATATAGGCTACTATGGATCTACATAGATCTGAACAAATATATAAATATATCCAGACATACATATTATATTATATATATATATATATATATCTCTCAATCTACGTGTCTCCTGGGTATTCACATGTCACTGTATACGAATGTATACATGTGTGTCTGGAGATATATATATAGTTCTGAAATATTTATCTCCATATCTATATCCATATATTTAACCTGCTTTTGTGAAAGCTGAACTTTGCAGGTACAGGGGATTTACTGAGTTCACATGATTGACGTGGAAGGCTTACAGCCTCTCCCAAAGGGCATTGAAGAAGTATATGAAGTAAACATGTTTAAGTTACCAGACATTCAGTGAAAGGTGTGATGGGATCTGATCTGCAGTCCCAACAATGAGGTCTTCTGCCATGCTACACATACATTGCAGGACCACGAGTTTGGGATCAGTGATCAGACTTCAATTGCCCTATACTTACCAGTACAGGGGGAGCCCAGGATCAAAAGATGTGATTAACCTTCAGTAAGTGTAACATCTTTCCAGAGGTTAAGAGCATCAGAAATCCATGATCGTCTTTAGTTGTAGCCACTTAGAATGTGAAGTTTTCATCTAGTTAATCTGCACCCTATACACACACACAATAAATCTTATGACATAATCCCCAAAAAGATCTTTTGACTAGCAAGTATAATAATAATAATATACTTGAGCAGACCCAGAACCAACAGATATCCACAATCTACATTTTTATTTTAGTTAGAATAACTGTTGGCATGAGACAATTCACCTGTAATTACAGGTAATTTCATTTTGATGTAACATGGCATGTTGAATAATACTGTGCATGTCTACATGAGACACTGACTGCGCAGTAGCCCGATATTACTGTGCAATAGCATCACGTGGCAAAAACTGTGACATGACACTGCTGAGCAGTAGTATTAAGCTACTGTGCAGTAACATCACAAAAACGGCATTCATTGGTGCTACTGTGCAGTAACCACGGGAAGGCAAATCGCTTTCAGATCTTTAACATAAAAAGATACTCCATGCATTTCATTTGGAATTAGGATATTTTATGCCTTTCTGAAAGTGAAGATATTTACATTGGTTATAGATCAGAAAACCTTGTGTTTTTTTTTCCTGAAACAAAAAGGAGCATAAACTGTAGAGGCTACTAAATTACAAAAAATCGGCTCTGACTCTGGTACCTGATCACTACAGGTAAGTTTCTGCCAACCGTACTCTGCAAGAAGTACCAGTGAAATCTATCTGATCAATGGGATGCCAGGTGAATACAAGGATTCACCACTCATTGAAGGATCATGATTTAAGATGCTAGTCAGCATGAATAAGGAGAAAAAAAAATATACCTTTACAATAGCAGGCCACAGCTTGCTGAGAATTACAGAAATGCTATGAATTATCTAGCTATCACTAAATGTGAAGTATCTACCATCACCAAATACAGTCTTCAGCAACAATTTTTAACAAGAATTATCTGTTCTAGCAGAAAAAAAAAATGTAGCAGATTGAAAATAACTATTCCAGTGATTCACAGCCAAGGTGCTATGGCACCCTGGATGCTTTAAGATCCTTTCAAGGGTGCCACAGGGCGCCATGCAATGTTAGCACTGTTAGGTGGACAAATATGATTCACAAGATAAATCCAAAGATTTCATATAGTAATCCATAGTGTTAAAAACATTCCGATTTCTTTGCAACAGAAGAATTGCTCTGTTACCTTTCTGTAGTCCAAAAATGAGTGAAAACTAAGAACTGGCATTTTCTGAGGGGTGCTTTGAGTCTCTCAAGAGGTGCCTTAAGTCTAAAAAGGTTAAGAACCATTGCTCTATTCCAGCAGTAATAATACCATACACAGGGAAAGGATGTTTAAATGGTTAGATGATGTGTGTCTTTAAACTATATAGATCTGTGGACATGAACTCCTAACTGTAGAGAGTTACTTTATTTTGGGAAGTCCATGTATGGAATCACAAACTTTGTTACTCAGAGTCATTTAGTAAAATGTTTGAGTGTTTGGGTTAAAATGAAATAAAATGAAAAGTAGCAGCAGCAACTAACTTTGGCCTCATTTTAGTCTTTGGAGCTGATGAATGCGCAAGGCTGAGTAGCAACAGGCCTATTATGTCCCTGTCAGTGCAAACTTGCACCTTTGGAAATCCTCTAGGCACACAGGCCAGAGCATGATGAGCAAACATTTCTCATAACAGTCTCCGATACAAAAGGTGGCCAAAGATAATTGCCCTAAGTATTATCACCTCCAGCAAAAACCACTGAAGGTCTGAGAAATGTGTTTGCAGCATACAGACATACAGAAGCCTTTTCAAACAATAACCCTTATTTCATATCTGAGGAATTCCAAACATTCTTAAGGAAGAATGGTAGAAATGTACTAGACTGGCTTATCATCCTGATTCAAATAGGTTAGGAGAGTGCTTTGTCCAAACATTAAAGAGTGCTAGAGAAAGGTAACCATTCAGGTATATCGGTGAGTCACTCTGTAGCAAATTTTATCTCTTCTTACTGCCCTGACCCCCAAACAAAAATGTATAAAAGCCCAGCTGAGTCATTTTAAAAATATCATCTTAGAACCAGATTTTCATTCTCAGGTGCTCAAATAGCAAGGCAATTACAATATGAACCAGTACAAAAATACGAAAGCAAAGGAGTGACTAACAATCAGGTATTCTCTTCTAAACAATAGAATCCTGGTTCCATTGAAGTCAATGGGAGTTTTGCCATTGACTTCAATGAAGCCAGAATTTTTCTCCAGGTGTTTACAGATAAGTGGGGAGGAGAGAAATAGAAGAGGAACAAAGTGTAGAAAATGAAAGGTGCTGGGCCTGATAATGTAACTTATTGTCATAAAAGGTGGAATGATTAAAAGGAATTGAGATAAATTATCTCTTGTTTAATTATAAAATATTATGGAATTCTGAAACTTGGAAAATACTTTCTGTGAGTGCAGGTTAAAAAGTAGCTTACCCTAGACCCATGTGCATCACTAGCCAGTACAGAGATTTTACATGTTATACAAACCCATTCGGGATGCCAACCACTCTAGGTATTCGATTCTAGACTGGACTGCCTATTCTATGTATGGTGCCTTAGGATTACACACAGAATACAGATCTCTGGGGATGATATGATGCTATTCCCCAGCTGAGCATTTTTCTGGAAATAGAAAAAAAATGAAATTTGTTCCTGGGATGTAATTTAATCAATGTATAGGAGGAGTTATTTTAGTATTTGGAATGGGACATTAAGTATGTGTTTTGCATATTCATGTATTTTAGTAGAATAACTGAAAAGATTCATTTCTTAAATGTACACATCTAGGTTAAACCGCTCCCCTGGGATTTTCTTAGTCCCTGTGTTGTCATAATTGGTGTTCTAGCCTGTACCTGCCTTTGGTCTGGAGAACGCTGTGACTGAAAATGGCTAGACAAATGTGCTTACTACTAGATAGTTTGTGTGTTCTAGTGACCTTGGAAAATGGTGGTTTAATAAAGAATAAAGGAAATCCATATGGGCCTATTATGATCCTTTGTAACATATGAGATGATCATCAGGTATGAGCAGTGTGACAAACTAGAGGACCACAGTTTTATAAAAATCAAAAATACTAATAAATACCAGGTTTGGCTTGTTTCTCCGTGGCACCACAGAATCCTGACACACTTTCATTAACTATGCCATAGTATAATGTTCTGTAGTACCTTCACTGAACCAATGACTGAGATGTATTTGGACTTTATTTAAATCCTAAGAACTAAAAAGGATGAATCATCAATGCTGTGATCACATTTGTAAAGCCCTCTGTTACTGCATGTGATTGCGCTACACTTTCAACGACTTCCCACTTCAAAGCAATAAGAGTTTTTAAACATTCTTTTTACTGCAATGCATAATCTCAAGCTCTGTTTAGAAAAAATAATTCTGTTAAAAGCTCTAGTTTGATGCATAAACTACAAAGTACATGCTTTCTTTCCAAAGCTACAAAAATCCTTGAATGACCTCACATGTGAGCATCCTAATATATGTCACATGGGACAATCCATCATATACTAGTTCATAAGTACATCATAAGATGTGTTTTATATATATATTTTTTTAAAACATGAAAGTGTGTTACACTCTTAATGGGGGCTAGTAAAACAGAAGAAAAATGCACAGACTCAGGTCTTGGACTTTTCAACACTTTGTCTACATTTCTGTTTCATCTGCTGCATTTCATGGCTCATTCAAATGTCAAAATGAAAATCACTTCTGTAAACAATGCCCTCTAAGCATTTATATTTTTTACTGTGCATTTTGAACTAGCTTTTTGATATTTTCTTTTTTACAACCAATTAATGAAAAACCACTCTGAGCTATAAAAAGGAAATAACGTTAGGTTCTGGTATGCATTTATTGCAATGTTTTAACTGGAAATCTGGAAAGAAAACCCAATAAATATATTTGGGAGAGCCCTAAGACTCTGGAAAAAAAGTGTGAGAAATCCTCCCTCCAATTATTTAAATTAAAATAAGGTGAAAAAGCAATCTTTTTAAAACTATAACATTTGCAATGTAGTTGCAGAAAGAACAACGATGAACACTTTCCTGTTCCTACATTATTTTTAGTCCTTTGTTTATCATAGTCCCTTGAAGCCTACAATGGAAAACCTCTCTTGTCCATTTTTTTTTAATCTGTTAGACATTTATCTCCTTCCTCCATCCCTTGGACCAGTCTTTTGAGGGCTGTAGCTTGGTACATGAAGTTGGACTCATTTAAATAGGTAAATTAAACCCCATGCAGAATTTTAAAAATTTGTGTAATGTGAAACTATATAAAGAAAAGTAGTAGTATAGTACATTCTGAATAAATGTAAGGAGGCAAGGTTTCTTCCCCACTTTATACACCCATATAGATGTGTACAGGTTCATGAAAATTACAGGGATTTTAAAAACTCAATTCAGTTCCCCTTCCCTATAACTTTGTTTCTGTCTTGTTCAATGTTGTACCCAGCTTTCTGTTCCTCATGAGTCCTGTTGGTTCATCCTCTTATTCTCTGCCCTTTAACCTCTAGTGGTCTACTTGGGAAGTTAGGGAAAAGGGCCCTCCTCCTCCTTTCTTTGTGTGGTCTAGTTGGTCCTCCCAGCCTTCATTCTGGAACTCTGGCCTACTGATTACTATAGAGACTGACAGCAGTGCTTAGGAGAAGATAAAAGCAAGGATCAGACCATCCGGTTGGAGAAACTATCAGTGTTAGATGCTGGGAGGAAAGCCCACCCCACTTGTTGCTCTCTGGCCAGTCACTTCCCTGGCCAGGAGCAGTGTGCATAGTTCAGGGACAGTATGCAGCAGCACTCTCCTTGGTGCCTCTGCCTCCCTGTGCCATGGCTGCTCCTGCCCCTGGCAGAGATGACCAGTGACCCATGCTCCTGTTGGCCTGCCATGCTGACCACTGGCTGGTCCATGGCTATCTCACCCCTCCCAGGTCCCCCACTTGCAGTGACCACCTGGCCAGCCACTGCATGCTCTCCCAGGGCCATCGCCATGCACCTGCCACCCTGATCCCATCTGTCTGGACGGACCCCAGCAGGGATGCCAACAATG